ATCAATGGACTCGAGTTTATCTGATAAACCAATAAAGGCTGTCTCTTCGATTGAGCTTATATTACAATGGTGAGCAATTAAATGGGTAACATCAAGACCGTCTAACAAAAAGGCTGGGAAAATGGTTAATGAATTTTTACGAAACTTAAGGTAATTGACTGCATGTCCAGTTTGAGCGATATTACCAATTGCTTCCTTCAATTCACCCATTTCAGCTCCTGGAAAGACATGATTAGAAGAGAGAAAAATGTTAGTCAATAAAATGATCATTCATCCAATTAAACAACCATTAATATTGAACGAATAAAAGAACAAAATATTGTCAGTTTCCTCAGAAATTTTCCCATTCTTAACCTTCTTAATATCCCTTTGAAATGCGTTTTTTTGTATTCAATTTTTTTCTCTCATAATCATTTAACACACCAAACATCATTAAAATCAAATTAACTTTCATCAGGCACAAAATGTATCACATTTTGTCTTTTTTTCAAACACTTTTGTTCTTCATAAACTTTTTTCCAATTTTCTCAGTTTACTAAATTGTGATGTGAATTTAAAATGAGATTAAAGCATATTATGACCAACTATGAAACTTATGAGAAAAAATCCCAACCAAAGTGAAGGCTAAACGCGAAAAAATCGACATTCTGTGCAATTACAGAGATTGAACTGTTCGATATTGTCAAATCAAGATTCTCGAATCTTAATGTTCAAATAACGACTAGAAAGTTGTCAGTTATGAAGTTGAGGTTGAAGGAAAAAGCAAATCTCTTGAGCAAGTCTTTTAAGATGCATTTCTTGTATATGAAGGTACAAAAGGGTAAAGCAAAAGGTCAAAAAATCACTGAATTATTTGGCTGATCAATGGTGACTCCAATAAACAATGGAAGTTGCTTTTGTACAGAAAAAGTATATTAATGATCCAAACAACATCAGAATGATAAACTTGATCAGGGAATGGTAAAGAGTATAAATAATGGTGCAAGACTCTGTTGAATACAAGATGAACGAAGTGAAATACAAATATAAATATTTGATCTCGACTTAATTGTCCATTTCATTAAGTCAATGATTACTGTCAAATCATTTGATTGAACAAATCTCAATTTACATGGAAAGAGAAAAAGAATGAAACAATGGAAAAGTGTTGTTTTACTTCAGGATATTTCATGTTGATGAAACCAAATCAGCCAAAAATCAAACTCTACATAATCTGTTGAAGAATCGCAATTTTCCAGATAAATATCTGTAAATAAGAGTTTTCCTGAAATGCATTTTCAAGTAAAGTTGAAAGGTTGATGGTTGAAGCATGAATCTGATATTGAAATGAAACTAAACTTTTATTCATCATTCACTTCCAAACTGGTGAAGCTGACCATTTGATCAAAAATTGATTCAACTTTTCATGGAAACTCTACAAATCAAAATTTAAATTGCGTTGATAACATTTTCTACCTTTTAAATGCAATCCTATTTATCTTCGAGTTTTGTTTTTCTTTCAATTTCAATGAAAAGTTCCAAGTGAAAGCTATAGTTGTTTGATTGATATAAAAAAAGGTAAAAGTAAATTGATAAAATGATTGAATTTGAGTTATTTTACTTTTTTTTCATTCATTTTTGTTTTCTCGCTTTCCTTGCCATTATTTTTCCCTCTTCATTCAATACTTTTCAGTTGAGTTCTTATTACATGGCAAAACGATATTTACCATGGAATCATTTCCCTTGATATCGGTTGATTCGAGAGGAAAAAAGAAGCAAGAAGAAGAAAGTAATTCGTTGATGAAAATAAATTGAGCATGGATAAATGATGCTATTCAATATTTCAATTTGAAAAGGAAATTGAATTAAAATTTTTACATTCTTTTTGAAATTGAAACTGGAAGCAAATATTAAAGCAGCAAAGAGATGAGTTGTAACAAAAGGGTTCAGCAATTGCAAGCTGAATGTTTCATAAACTCATTTGTATTCAATAATTGATTGGATTGAGCGAGTGAACAAACTAAGAGGATTAAAATGAACAAAGAAACCAAGTTAATCTCGACAGTTTAATAACGATAATATGAAGAGGAAAATTGCAATTTATTCCTTATTTTTCATTGAAAGTTCTGAGCCCGAGAATTTGATAATTATTTTGTTCAACAAAAGCATCAATTGAGATTCAAGATGATGGTCGATAAGCAAACAATGTTAACGTTTGGCAAAAGGCAATTTATCATTATTTTGTTGGTTATTAAAGAGACGAATGTTTTTAATGAAAAAATATTTTTCTCCACTTTCTGGTCAAACAATGTTGCAAAGTCCAATTAGTTTGATGATTAATGGCAAGAATAACAGAAGAGAAGCAACAAAAATCGAAATGTTAACACTTTTCTTTGCTGAAAAGCTGATTGGGAGTGAATAGCAAGTTGAACAGCAAATGTTGAAGATATTGAATAACAAGTTACAAGACAAAATGAGAAAATCTTATTAGACTTTTGTGATTTTCTGGATTCTTGTGTGGGTTGAGCTGTTATTAGCTTATCCAGTCGAGTCAAGAAAAGCTCATTTTTAATCTTGTTTTTGCTTCACCTAATCTTTGATAATATTCATTATTGTAATGGACCAAAATGTTGCTCAAGTTTCAACATTTTGTTTTGCATTTTACTTCTTGAAAGAAGGTAAAATTTTCCCCTTTTTTTCTGCCTTTTGCTTTTTTATATTTGCAATTGTTAATGGATTCACTTAGACGCTTTTATCATTCATTTTTTTCCTGGTTCAAAGTTGCTTCAGTTTTAACAATTTTATCCATCATGTTACTCATGTTTCTCATGCCTGTTTCTCTCATTTCCTACTCACTCTCTATCTTATGATGAGTTTCCTATTTCCAAGTTGAATATCAGTTTCTCTATATCACTCACTCAGGGAGTGGAAACAAATATCACTCCCTGTATCGATCCCTGGAACAAACCTTTAGATAACTATTGGAAAGCCTAAAATCGATCCAAAATTTTCTTTTTTTCTCGTCTCTCTCTCTACCTTCATCATCTTTTTCATCTTTAAGCTATTTTTTGTTACCTACTTTGGCCTCTTTCCCCGTTTTGCAAAGTTGACTTACAAATGTAAATTTGTTGATGAAAAGTGAGGAAACAAGAAAAAGCAACAACAAGGAAGAAGCAGAAGAGAAATGCTAAAAGACTTGATTCGTTTACCATTTTAGCCTTACCTTGCCATTTCTCTCGCCTTGTTCTTGAACATTCAATACATTTATATGATAAACAAGATGATGATGTTCATGATGAAGATGTCTGCTCAACTGTAAACTGTATATTAAACTAAAATTACCTTAACGTAAGCATGTTTTTAAACGATTACACTTTGCTCTTTACTCATTTTGTTTAAACAGTTTTCTTCCTTTTCTCATCTTCTTAAATTGTAATTTTAAATTAGCCAATTGTTTAATGTTGTTTGCACAAATTTGACATTTGCTTTTCGTCTCTTTGCTACATTTAACTTTATGCATATCCAAGTGTTTACTCAGCAAAACAAACGACGATTCAAAGGTTGATTGATGAAATTAAATTGATTCCTAATTGAGTGTAATTCAATGAAATTACTTATAATCCTTGACTGGTTGGCCTTGATGAACACTTGAGTGTAAAACTGAAAGATTGTAACTCGTACCATTCAATGTCTAATGTTACTTGTTCATTCCAATTTATCATTAATAATTCGACTCGAAAAATCCTCATGAGAATCCAATTATTATTACAAGTTTCAATTTAGTCTTTTTTTTCCTTTTCTGTCAAAATTTTCTTTTTTCTCCATCAATTTGGATTCTTTTTTAGCCTGACTTTGGCTCATTTCCTGATTACGATTAATTAATTGGACTTTCAATTGGCAGACATGAATGGGAAAACAGGAAACTCTGAGGAATTAACAAATTTTTAAATGTTAATCATTGAACTGAAAAAGATGAAAGAGTGGAAAATGTTTTCAAGAGGAAAAAATTTGATTCAAGATTTGGTTCAATGAAAAGCAATTGAAACATCAATGTTATTTTTTTACACTTGGAGTTTGATGGTGCTTGATGTAATGATATTAGCAGTAATAATGATAACAATAATAATGGTATTAATTCAAGGTAAGAATTTTGAGGAGAATGCTTTTACCTGAAACTGAATGGAGTGAAAGAAAAGAGGCAAAAATTGTTTCATCATTAGGTTTGTTCAAATGTGATGAAGAGAAAGTTTCGTTTGTTGAAAATTCAACTTGAATTGCTTTCCATTCTTTTCTTGGTTTCAAATTCGTAAAACACTGCAACATTTGGCAAGAAAAGTTTGAGTTAATGGTCGACTCATGATAATGGCTGCAATTATACCGAGATTATCTGATATAATAAAATGAACAACTTTTATTTTCGAGTTACGAGAAATTTAATTTTCACTCGCAAATTGTATTGCCAGTTATTTAACAACTAAAAGTAGATTCTAACTAATCATGTCGCGGTTTAGTTCAAATTTAATGGGAGATCATAATTAGACAATTTAAAGCACAGAAATGGAAATATCTGAAGTAAAAGAGAAAGAAAAAGAAAAGAAAGTTACAGAACAATGATTCAGGCCAGGGATTGAATTGTAACCAAACAAAAAGTATCCGATTTAGATTAGCTCTAATAGGAATAAACAAATTTTAAAATATCGACTCAAAATCAGGACTTAACTTAAGTTCGAGCAGTACTAATTGGGCAGATATTTCGCGTTTAGAATAGCATAACTGTTTCAGTTCAGATTTAAATCTGTGGCTTTTCTTCGATAAATGAATCAATTGAATTTTGCAAAAAATTGATTTCACAAGCTTATGGATAAAAAGCGGCGAAGAAAAGCTCGAAAAGACTAAAAAATAAGTTTGATGAATGGAACTAAAAAAGATGCAAATCAAAGCATTATAGCAATGAAATTTTTAGATGTGATCAAATGATCTTGATAATAGTAATCCAAACTCTATTTCTGTTGAAAATTCCATTCTCAAACCTTTTTACATCAAAAGACGCAATTTCTTAATGAAAAAAAACCGGAAAAAATGAAAATCCAAAAAATAGCCTTAGCTCGAGAAATCCGTTACGGGATGATAAAGAACCTTTCAAAGTTACAAAAGAGTTCAAAACTTTCTATTATTATTTTGTGAGTGAAAAAACCCCAAGTTTTATTTTTAAATTTTGCGATCGATTCTCATTGGAATGAATCCAAATTGAAAATAATGAGATCGTTATTTAAAGGAGTGAAAATTGCCAGAAGCTAGCGCAAGATTTCCATCATCGAGAAAATAAGCGTGATCTTAAAATTTAAATTTATTTTCATTGCCTTTCATTTTCTAGTTCGTAAACAAAGATTTTTTTTAAAAAAACTTCTGTTTTCGATTAAAATTTCGACAAATTTTTGATCCAAAGCAAGCATAAAATAATCATTCAGTGAATCATCGGTTCCAGAATGTTGATATTATAATGCAACAGACTTTGTGTTTATCTTCAATGGATATAATAAATGTTTGTTTGGATGAATTTTGTAGCATTTCAATTTGCTTAAACTTTTTATTGCAGTGTAAATGCAAAGTGAATTTGTTGTCTAATAGATTAGTTTGATTGATCAAATCAACAAAAGGTCCAATACAAATATTGATACTAATAATAGGAAATAAAAAGTGATTGTCAGGTTATCAAGTGAAATCCTATTTCCTATTATCATTGGCAACTTGAATCAATCATAATTTAATGAACCCAAATCCAGCATTTATTTATAGTTTGGATTCGAGTTTCGAAAATTTGTTCAGTTCTTTTTCCCTTTAAACTTTTCACAATTTGTGAGTTTACAAAATTCAGAACTGATTGAGATAATGAATTATCCTGACGGTAATGAGAATAGCAAGAGTAATGATGATAATAATAATCATAACTGAATGTTACTTGTCAATAGTAATTGAATTAAGTTGACGTGATAAATACAAAAGTAAACATGAATCTGAAGGGAGAGAAAAGAAGAAAACGATAAAAAGCAAATTGGATTGAAATCTAAATCAACTAATGTTCATCATCATCATTACCTTTATTATTATTATTAGCATAACTTTCATCATTTTCATTTAGCTAATCATGAACAAGTTTGCACAGTAAATTCAAAAGGAAATTACATTTTCAGGGAAAAATATTGCAACAATTTGTGTAAGTGAAGAAAAGTCCAGGGAAGAAGCAAATTTGCTCAGTTTACCTTCAACTTTTTGAACCAGGTAAATGGTTGAGGTGATGGCTCAGAATTGAGCCATAAAGTAAATTTGATAAACAACAGAAGATGAGAGAAAAAAATAAGGAAAAAATGAAATTTTTGATGAAAATTATGAAACGTTAAAGATTAATGATGAATCAAGATGAATAATTTATGGCATTAAACTAACAAGATTTGTTTATCCTTTTAAAATTGATTTTCATATTGAATGGATTGGACAAGTTGACAGATAACAAGTTTTGAAAAAGAGTATCATTAATGAATCTTGACGAAAACACGAACACAGAAGATATTGGGAAGCTTTCTGCTGACTGCTGAAACTGAGCTAAATGTTATGATTGATAAATTAGATAACATTTAATGACTGGATTGATGCAGATCTAATGATAGCATCAATAAAAAGAGGAATTATCTAAAATGGTGAAAATAATTGTGAATTGAATGCATTTCAAGGGCGGTTTATATCATTGAATCAGCATTCAATTTTGATAACTTTGAAGGGTAGAGTAACCAAGCTCAATTTAAAATCACAATCTAAATCAAATGAATTTTTTCATGAAACTCATTTCTCTGATGTAATTTTTGATGTTCAATCAGAAAATGGACTCATTGCAAAAATAAAATTTTATATTACAAGAGACAAGAGGTCACTTTGATTTACGGAAAAGTTAGAGAGAGAATGAGCTGAAGCTCATTTTTTATCGATAAAACTTATTGGTGAACATTTTTCATTGGGCACTTTTTTCGATTCATCAACAGTTCTCTAGATTTTGGCCATTGACCTTAAACTTTGGGCCTAAAATCTCGAGAATGGTAACATCAACAATCATCATTCTTTGACCAATCATTACATTTTATCATGTGTTAATCCCTAATTGATGACATAACTCTTGTTTAGTTACATGATCATGGTGACTATGCAGCTTCTTTCCTTGTCCTTATTCTATCCTTAATTTTTTCCAAAAAAGTAGTATAAATAGCTGGACAATGTTCAATCGCCAAAGCTATTCTAAGAGTAATAAAGCCTTTCCTGGCGTTTTAAAGCTGTTCGTCGAGTAACGCTGTAGTTGTCTTGTCAACCAGTTCTGACCCTTATGCTGTTTCCAGACATTCCTCATAGTTTACATTTTTCGGTTATTCTGTGGTTTGTAAACCTTGGTTAATCTTGGTTAGGATTAGAATCCTAAAAGTGAAAGGCAACAATTTAATCTTACTCTAAGTTTGTAACTTTTTAGTGATCCTAAAAAAACTGATATTCAGGATTTAAGAGGCTGAATTTGTCTTTTGAAGTGTGAATGAATCCTAATTCCAACTTTATTGAAATCTCCCTTTCAACTTAAATGTTGGCACGAACCAGATTTTGACATTCTTTCATGCAAAGAGATTGGATTTAAATTTAAATTGTCTAAATTGCAAGTAGCCATTGGCTTCTCATCTTAAGGTAATGATAATTGCGGTCATTAAAGTTGATTTTGCTCGTAACAATGTTGAAATTGTTGAATTTACTGAATAAAAGTAAATGCTTTTTTTATATTTCAAGTTTTTCCTCTGTAATTGAATTGGTAAAGGTTAACTGAATGTGAAGATATTTTACAACAAAAGGTGAATACAATTAAAGTAAATGATAATAGTTTGGAAATTCAATAAACTCTGTGATTTAGTTTATTATTGATTGTCATTTGAATATTTTTCTGGTCACTCTCTTTGTTTTCCCTCAATTTATGCCATTAATGAGATACTGGAATGAGATTTATATGGACAAGTCTTCTGTCTTTTCCCTCTCTTTGATACACTTTTGGTTAACCATTGTCCTGTTTTTCATGGTTGACAAATTTTTACCTGAATATTGTAATAAATATTGAATAAGCAGATGTACATGGAAATAATAATAATATAACCTGTAACCGTGTTAATATATTGACATGGAATGTGTTCATCTCTAAATATATTGTTGTTCAGTAGAGTTGAAAAATCGGGTTAACACCCAAAGATATTTCATCTTCATCTTTTACTCTTGCAGCTTCCAGAAGTTTATTCAGATTCACAATTGATTCTATCCTGACTGACTGTTGTTGTTTGGGGTTGTTACATCAACATGAATTACCTTGAAGGAAAGAAGAATGAATGAGTCAATGATGATAAGATTGTAATGAAAAGAAGACGAACAAGAATAAGAATCAAATCCCTATTCACCGAGAATCGACTTATTTCACCATTTACCTTTTTTTACTTTCTCTTTTCATCTACTTCACCATCTTCATCAAACTCTTTTTTTCTCTCTTCTTCTTCTTCATCTTCTTTCATCTTCTTTTACTGGTCATAATGATAATAATAACATGAGCAACAACAACAATGCACCGAAAAAAAAGAGGATAAAAGGACAAGTGAATCACCTGATTAATGACAGGACTTAGAAGCTGGTAAAGGAAGGTTTTTTTTCCTGGTCTCAAGTCTTCATCTGAAAGTCAAGTTTTTATCTCATTACATGATAATATTATTATCATTCTTGCTCAGAATTAAAACCATTGAGAGAATGTATCAATCAATTAGAATTAACTAATCATTGGATGGGAAAACAAATCCATTCTCAATTCATTATCTATTTATGTGGACTGCTTTAGATTTAAATGTGAGTCTATCGATCATTTTATATTTGCTCATTTCTTCAACTTGTGATTCTTTTACTGTAAATGTTGAATCGATTCTTTGAAATGGTCATGGAAAGGGTGACAATTGCTGTGTAAATCAAAAATGATAATCATGTGTGTATTGGGCAACAATAGACTATCGACAGGAAAATATTGATTGAATGGTAATGGTGATAAATCATGGAAATACTTTTGGCATGTATTCAGTACGATAATAATTTACTGCAAGACTGATCATTTTTGAACTGGTTTCAGAGCTTAATTTATTGCTATTTTGTGCAACATTATTATTCTGTAAACTTCACCTTTAGGTGTAATAAACCTGAGAAAAGGTTCAAGTGAAGAACCCAAATGACTGAGGAAAGTTAATGGGGTTGATTGAGGGCTTGTAGGTTGCAATGAACAAACCTTCACAGAGAATGTCGAAACCTTTACTTTTCTCTTGGCACGAACAAGGTTTAATTAATGACCGCTGGGGACAAGCATTACGAAGTAATGAGCCTGGAATTAATGATAAAATAATCCAAAACCCGGTCCAGTTGATTAAATTGATTAAAGTTATTGGGGAAGAGGGTTGCAATGTAATTAACAAAAGAGATCTCTGGTGATTAATGATTTCCATCAATTTTTTGGATCACATTCACAGGATTATATATCGATTAAGATGTTTTAAGGTTAAGTTAAATTGGATCACGTTGGTTCCTCTACTTATTGCTTGGACAATTTACAGATGTTATTGACACAAAAATTTACTGATAACAATCATATCACACATAATTGAACTTAGGAATACTCGAGAAACTGTGAAAATCTGGTAAACAAAAGGAGGGAAAAAAAATGATATTGAAAATAGTATCTTGTCTGGGTCTACACTTGCTTTTGCCGATTTCAATTCCAATCAGGTCAAACAGCAATGTTGATGAAATGGTTTAGTGACAGAAAACATGATAATCACATCGAGATGAGTTCATCGTGGTGAGACATGGCTGGACATTGATGAGAGAAACATAAAAATCTGGATAAAGTTAGGTGAGTTGATTTCAAACATAACAGCAAAGCAACACTTGAATTTATAATATACAACTGGTCAACAATGAAAATGAATTGATTAAAAATCCGTTTTTTAAATGTTAGAGGTGAAGTTGGATTGGAGAACAAAATAATTAGAAAAAGTTTGACTTGAATTTTCTGGCTAATTAGATTCCAATGTTCGTTGATAGGTAGAAACGTTGATGTTTGAAAGTGAATTTATATGTAAATGCAAATGGTTGAAATAAATTGAAAGCAAATTAACTTGTTGGCTAGTCGAATAAATTAACCGGTTAATTGTTGAGATGGCTGAAGGTTAATCTGTTGTTGTTGTCTTGTTAAAGCTGGAAAGTTTCAACATGGGAAAATGAACGAGAAAGATGAAACAGATGAAAAAAAGAGAAGAAACAAGGAAAGGAAAATTTCATTTACGAAAATTTACTAAGAGATTGCGTCAAATTGAAGCTTCATCTGGTGACAAATTTTGTCATTTCAAAAATCATGAATAATCTATATAATTTTTTCAGCTCATGAGATTCATTTGATTTGGTTAATTGGATTAATTTGTACTTCTTTCACCATCTTGACTGTTAACCGGATTATTGACCGGTTTATCTCTGTTTAACTCGCATTATCTTTCAGTGCGCACTATCATAATGGTCCCTCAAGTTTTTCCCGGTTATTTTATTTTCTGGTTTCAACAACTTGTTTCTCATTGTTTACCTTTTTAATTCTGTATTTTTGTATTTATTTATTTGTATTTCTGTTTTTAATAAGTTTTTTGTTAGTATATTTGTTTATTAGAATTGACAAATCGTCTTGTGCCTTGCTATGGATCTTTTTCTCACCGAAGAAGATTATCTGCCTGCCGAGTTTGATGAGTTACCTTTGGATGAGGCTATTTTAAGAGTTCGTGAACTAGAAGATGAAAGACCATCAAAGAAAAAGAAATCAAAGGGAGAAAAGGTTAAACGTAAACGAGCTCCAGAAGACGATGAGGATGGTGATCCCGATAAGCAAAATGATGAATACGTAGAGGAAGATGGTTGGTTGGTCAATGATCTTGGCGATGATGGTTATGCTGGTTACGAAGAGGAGGATGATGAAGAAGACGATGACGATGATGGTGATCAGGAGCGACCAAAGGTTTTTGGTGAAGATGAAGCAGAAGAGGTAGATGATGTATCTGGCAAGCCAAAAAAGCCAAAGAATGATGAAAAGGAAGAAAAGGAGAAGAAGAAGCGACGAATAATTCATAAAGGCCCAAGAGTGACTCTCAATGTTGATAGATTGAAACATTTTAATGCTTTGCCCGTGCTACCTGGTATTTTGAGAAAAATGAAGTTCAAAGGTACTTC